ATAAATTATTGAGTTTGCAATTTGTGTATGGATCCATATGTTACAAATTTTGTCCATTGTTACAGCATGTTCCTAATGTTTGTATGCACAGTATCACTGTTACTTATTGTACGTGCACAGGGATGTATTGGTTAATTTATGATATCTTAATATTAACTTTAAGATTATTTTAAAAATAAAATAAAACAATTAAAATTATTAAAATTTAATTAATATAAATTATCGTTATTTTATATGTTTGGAGGGGGGACCACTGTAGAGTATTTCTTAGAATTCCAATATGGATAGGGCGCTTATGTGAGTCCCCTTTTTAATATGTTTATATGTTCATCACTGTGTTAAGAAAATCTCTACGTAAATGTGTTATTGTGCCTAGCGTTCCGTCATCAGTTGTGTGTGGTGTCACTAGATCAATTGGTCCTGGCCTGTTATGTCTTAATGTTGCTATCATGCTACTTTATCCTGACGATCCTGACTGTGTTTACAATGGGCATTGACTGTGCGGCGTCATCAGTTCGATTGGTCCTGGTTGGATATGTCTTCTTGTTGCTACTGCGGTACTTTATCCTACTTGTGTTACAACGGTGCTGACTGTGAATGTTTATTCTCTCATCTGGGGATCTGTCGAACTGATGTTCCTCTGTATTATTGATTATACTATTATACTTCTTTTTGTTGCTAGTGAGGTGGGACTGAGTCCCTTGTACTGCTGCCACTTCTGGCCTATTGTGCCAGCCCCAGATGATAGGTGAGGGTGATTGTGGAGCAATTGGTGGAATGAAGATTCGCATAGGAAACCGAAGTACTCGGAGAAAACCTGCCCCGGCGCCACTTTGTCCACCACAAATCCCACTTGACCAGAATTGAACCCGGGCCGCCACGGTGGGAAGCCAGCGACTAACCGCTTGAGTTATGGCGCTGCCCTTATACTTGGTTTTATGGTCTCCCTGTGTTTTGCTTCTCTCATATTTGTATGTTGACTCTGATCGTTGTCATGGGTACCTATTCTGTCGTTCATACTTTTCTGTGTCAGAAAAGTACGAACAGTCAGAGTCAGCATAGAAATACGGAAAGTAAAGACGAAATGATAACTATTGCAATAGTGTCGAAATTGCAGAGAAGCTACTCCTAAGGAAGATGAGTTTGCAGAACAATCAGGGTCAATAAGGGGATTCCAAAGTCTGTGGCTGACTCCTCTTAAAAATTAAAGCGGGACGCTACTATCTGTCATCAGAAAGGGGACGTTCTTCTGCACATCTGGAAGGATAAGAGGGAGATTCACATGATTAGTACAATATATACTGGCACAACTGGAGAGGTCACCAATACATTTGAAGAAAGGCTAAATAAAACCAAACCCTGTAATTCAGTACAACTAGTTCATGAAGGGTGCTGAAAGAGCAGTCTAATATTTCTCACATTGTACTATCTTAAAAAGTGAGCCAGGATTTATTTATTTATAATAAATAAATAAATAGGAGCCAGGATAGCGCAGACAATATAGCGACTGGCTACTGGCTGGACGTGAGGAGCCAGGATAGCGCAGACAATATAGCGACTGGCTACTGGCTGGACGTGAAGAGCCAGGATAGCGCAGTCACTATAGCGACTGGCTACTGGCTGGACGTGAGGAGCCAGGATAGCGCAGACAATATAGCGACTGGCTACTGGCTGGACGTGAGGAGCCAGGATAGCGCAGACAATATAGCGACTGGCTACTGGCTGGATGCCGAGGGGTCAAGAATTTTCACTTCTTCGTGTCGTCCAGACCGACTCTGTGGTCCACCCAATCTCCTATCCAATGGTTACCAGGGCTTTTTCCCTGGGGGTAAATCGGCCTGTGCGTGAAGCTGACCATTCACCCCAAATAGTGACGAGGTCAAGAAAATATGGATCTATACATCCACCCCCGATAAGCCTTCATGGTATAGTGCTTAATTAGTTAAGCACAGGGACAACTTTACGTTTACCTTTTATTGATGCTATTACAACTGCTAAGGTAAGGACAAACAGAGGCCGTGCCATTGCTCAGGTGGTTAGTCGCCGGCTTCCCACCGCGGCGGCGCAAGTTCGATCCCAGGTCAGGTCATGTGGGTTTTGTGCCTGACAAAGTAGCACTGGGGCAAATTTTCTCCCAGCAATTCGGTTTCCCCTGCCAATTCTCATTCCACCGATTGCTCCACACGCATGATCATCAATCATCCGGAGCTGCTACATTAGGCCAATTAGTGGCTGATGTACCAAGTGGACTCAGTGTCACCCCACCCCAAGAAACTAAAAAGGGGGGCTATCAGAGCCCTACACAATTACTAAGAGTGAGATGGTAAGGATGTGGCAAGAGACAGGCACAGTCTAGCACTTCCAGTTATGTCTAGGGTAGTGGTTCTCAACCTTTGTCAGACCGCGGCCCGGTATATTTTTTCTGTATAAGACGAGGGCTCGGTGGTTGAGAAACACTGGTCTAGAGGCGCCTTGACAGTTGAGGCTATCTGCTCCCTACGTCATAGACAAGTGGCTACGTGTAGAAATAAACATGGAAGCAATAACACTAATGTGAATATCAAATAAAATTATAGAAGTGCACAGTGTACATGAACAGGAGCATTCGGCACAAGGAAATTTAGATGTGATGCTAGAGAAAGTCAGTTCTGCTTGCTGCCTGTTTCATGCTGGCTTCTTGCTCAGCTCATTCTTAGATCCCGAAGATGAAGGCGACATCTTCCTCTGAAACTTCGGTTGACTTTTAACGGACTACACAGCATCACATCTCAGAAGAAAAAATACTTTAAAATTCAGTGAAATTCCCCAATAACAAGTTTCATGAATATCCGTTTGCTGGTTCATTTCATGCGTACATGGAGACAGGCGAACGAATGGGGCGAATTTAACAGGCGTTCCGCAGGGTTGGGAATGCGACTGAGAGGCGCCCAAAAGGAAGATACGTGTGTCATCTTTTACGTTTCGTGATCGAAACTGAAATGCGATCTGGAACTTAACGAAAACAGCGCGTTCTCTCTATAACAGGATATCCCAAAAGTTAGTAAAGAAAAATGTAAATAAACCTTACGTGTTGATCACAGTCCGTTTTTGTCTGAAGGAACAGACGAAAATCTCTAAAAGTCTGTCGGGATAGCCGGTCCCAAAAATGTGATGCCGAAGCGCTAAGCATCGCCTCGTTACGTTCCGTGTAAGAAAAACAGAGCTATGGAAATGGGTGGGGGGAGGAAAATCCAGTCGTTAGCCTATTACAAAACAAACCTATTACTAGATTCTCTAATGTCTTCAAACTCAAATTGCATTTTAATGCAGATTACAGCTTATGAGAGTAAGCAACTAATTTAGAATTACTATCACAACAAGGCCAGGAAAATACGTAACGTCTCACAGATAAAATACGTATGTTTTGTAAGAGCACCAGACTATCTGGCGAACAGATTTGAAGGAAGGTACTGCTTCCATCTTCAGGAAAGAATTAGTTTTATTCTGTCCTGAAGATGAAGAAAGAAGTTTCCTCCAGAATTTCGGCAACGATCTACCAGACTACACGGAGTCATATTCCAGTAAACAGTAACATTCATTGAGATATCAGTTTGAATCTAATGTACCTATGTTAACTAGGTCGCTTTTCATTACGGAATATTATGTTCGGGGACTGCTGATTAAGGAGGCTGCCTTCACGTACCTGCGAACGGCTAAGTGAAAAGCCAACGAAGGGGTGGTCATCCAGCCTTGGAGTTGCGCATAGGACCAACAATCGTTCATGTTACAATATAAAGCCTGATTAGGGCCCCGAAACAAGATGAATTATTTGCAGTGACTTAGGTCACGTTTGAAGAAACCTGAGGGTTGACAGAAGGAAATGGATCTCTGGGTTCCATTCGTGATTGGCTGAGTGAATATTAAGTTCTCAACAACGACTCTGCTCCTTGGAGTTGGTTAGTTACCTGGGAATCACTGGTAAAGATGGAACTTAGGTAGACCGCACACCGGCATGCGTTAAGACATGTAACAGTCAAGACACGATGTCTGTGACATGACGCAAAGAAAGGAGCACAGTTGAAACGAATGAGATTATGAAAACGGCCGCACACCGGTCTAAGTCATGATGTTCACAAGGAACAACTTTGTGCATGGGCCCTCCTGGGGAAACAGTTTCTCATATCCCCATATTCAGCATACAGGCTAAACACACACAAAATTACAGTGGATGTAACGGGATGATCTGTATATGGTTCATATGAATTACCAGAGGGCTTTACTTCATGTACTCCTAACCTAATCATAGCATTCAGTATATTGTGAGGTGCCGCCAAAAAGCCGGGCGATAAGACGCCCAATGATAGGCAACGGCTGCGATAAGAATGTATACTTCAGTGGAAACGCAATACCAACAGACCGTTGGATAGAAATCGCGTTTCCCCGGAAATTGAAGGATATACATTGAAAAAAAATACTACCAGCAGATAAAACATGGTGCGCTCTATTCAGTCCAAATGCAAGTTATAAAAGTCCAGCTTCAATGAGACCAATCAGGTTTGTAGTGTAGCTCCAACTAGAGCAGAAGCAAGCTCGCATTAGACAAAGAACAGAAGACACTTCACCAAGATCAGCGGTGCAAGTAATTATGATAGTGATATTGTGAATAATTGTAAATGTGAGTGTAACAGAGATTGTCCAATAACGTCTTGGCCAAATCCGAGACTCATGTGAATTTATTTGTCATGTTACATAGGCAACAGGCGAAAATATATAATAGGTGTCAAGTTCTTCTAGATAAGAATTTTTCATGAAAATGAGGACTGCTGATGATAGAGAGAGTACTGTTCACAGATCCACTTACCATCATCCTGCAACCACTGCATCCCATCACTCTTGTGGTGCACTGTGTTGCCATAATCTCACACATGGTGCTGATGATATTACTGTACAAAAACTGGGGTTCTCTCAGGAAGATGATATAGTCTTCAAGGCATCTGAAAAGTGTTTGCTTTTGTTTCCAGGGCAGCAGCCAGTGAGTGAGCTGTGCCTTGGCTGCATCTGTGAGGCTATATCCAACTGCAACCGCTCCCTAGGATGCAATGGCGACGTGTGCGGCCTGTTTAGAATCACATGGGCATACTGGGCAGATGCAGGCAAGCCAGTCATAGCTCAGGATAATGCAGACAATGAAGGAGGTGAGGGACAATGAAGTCCAGCTGCATTCTACCTAATCACACAGTTTTCCAGTATTAAGTTTTGCCTATTTTTGTTTCACTTATCCAGTGTTGTCTTAAATCAACCCATTCAGCTTATACAAGTGAATTTCTTTTCAATAACACTGTTGGGTTCCACATGAAGTTCCTTTGTCATGTCATAAATACAATCCATCACATGTGCTGGTGTGTGTTGCCCTTTGTACATCTGGAAAACTGTCCACTCTGTTCAGGAATGTCTGTTCTTCAGCTATTTGATTCTAGCAGCATCAGCTATTTTGAATTTGTCTCCAATACGTCTATGAGCACATCTGTGTGAAACCAATGTTAGGACTGCAGTGATGCAGGATGTTGCCCAAGTACTCTTTTTGCTGCTCTGGCATTTTTTCAAAAGCAGTTATGTAAACATGAGAAACAATAGCAAATACCATACTAATAGCAACTCTGTTCTTTTTTTCTTTAAAAATGACAATTTCACATAAATATTTCACCAAAATACTTCAAGGAGAAATTTTAAAAGTAATTTTATTAAACGTTTCAGGCGCACATACAATGAAAATATAAGAAAGTGTAGGTTGTTAAATTTGTTACATTTCCATTATCGGTGGAAATATTTGTCTGTTTAAGTATGTGATCTTTTACACCTTTTTGTTACACAGTTCTGCATTTAAAAGGGCAAAGCTATCATTACATGAACGAGAAGAACCTCATATCATGATTCATGCCTATTTCTTTCAATGTGGAACTGTATGCCAGACCATCCACTTTTAGGACAACACTCCTGCCATTGGTGAGCAAAATTTTTTCTTTTTCCCTCTTTACATTTTTCCTTTCACATATTTTTGTAATAATCAAAAGACTGTGTGTTAGTAATAACCTTTTGTTTTTGCTGTCTTGACAAGTGTATCTTCACTTTCATTTCCAAACAGGGGAACTAGTGACAATATTCACTGAAAGTTAATGGAGCTGTCTTTGCGCACTTCGATCATATTCTCAGCACCTTCCTTTAAAATTATCTGAGAACCGATAAAACAAGTTTTCATAACTGAAAAAGTTGTCTGAGTGTCTTTGGAGATAAGGTATTGTATGAGAACTGATTGTAAAGATACTTTAAAGCCAAGTTCATTGTACAGTTAGTTCTGCTTCAAATAATTAGTTCAACAGGTCAAGTTTCTTTAATTTAGATCCCACTACCAGAACAATGATTTAGGAATGTGGCACAATCGATGTTGGATTTATTAATATGGTGTTATATCAGTTTATTATATTGAGTTCAGAAGCTTTTAGAACACATGCATTCCATTAACTCACTTTCTTTGTGTGCCATTTGGAGATAGTACGCAAATTTTAAAAGTATCTTTTCTTCATATATTGCATACATAGATGATTTTTCTTCCTTCTAGTTGATTTCCAGTTTTATGGCTCTAGCAGTCTTGTGATGCTAAATCTCCGTTCTCTTCATGAAGTTACTTAAACTCTGTGCCCACTGTTCAGGTCAGGTTAGATTTGTTACATATTCAACCAGATTTCAAGCAGTAGTGTTTCTAAGGCCACATTCTTGTTTAAGGATAATTCCTAACTTTATATTCAGATTCTGATTTGAGTTTGATCTCTTGAAAGCATATAAGATCTGCTGGTGTTGTATCAGCTATGTGAAGACGTTCATAGTTTCCCTTTTGTCCTCCCATAGTAATGAAATTTAAATTCCACTCTGTGATGGTTATACTTCCCTAAATGCATGGCAGAGCTAGCTCATGTTTCACCCCCACTGTCTCCAAATCAAAGGTCACATCAACTGCTTTAGATGTAATAACCTTTACCATGATCTTCATGCTCTATCAGTTTAGAGTCCTGGTGCCATTAACTATATATTTAGAGGGCACTGGAAGGAGGTGGCAATCAAACTTTGTCTACTGAGCTCAAAATTCAGAATCATTCAGCTAATTATATGTACATATTCAGGCAATGAGATTACTGCTCCTTGCTTTCAGCATATGTCCGTTGTGTGACAGAGCCATTCTGTGCTGCCACTACAGTACAGGGATACATGGCAAAGTTTGGGAAGGTAAGTAACAATCAAAGCAGTGTTTGAGCTGAGATATGAAGCAATTACTAGAAGAAGCAAACACTGGGAAATATCCAGGATTATCACAGGGAAAAGAAATTTCTGTTTCCAATGTTGCTGAATAGTTTGGTTTTGATAAATGCCCATTATTTTCTTATCATCCTCTTGCATAAACTACCTCTTTGCTATGCCAAAACACAAGCCAAATGTCTCCTGAAAGACTTAACACTTGGAAGCATAGAATATAAGGGCAATGAAGTTTAAACTAATAATTCCATAATGTAGAATATCTGAATGATAGCTATTCAGCTGGTCAAGATATTCCCCACATTTTATAGATATTACAGGTTCATTATCATGCTCACAGCAGCTCACCACTTGACCCTATCATGAAACAGATGATTTCAATCCATATCACGACACACAATTTATTTCAGATCTATTTTAATATTATCATCCAACCTACTCTAGTTTATATACACACACATATATATATATATATGTGTGTGTTTTGTGGGACACCCTCTATGACAAAGAGGACAGGCCTGTCTTTTGTATATACTGCTGGCCTTTCCAGTGCAGTCTTTCTTGGGTCTGAGGCCCTTGGTACTCACGACCATATTTTACTGTCCCAGATTTGAGACTTCCCTTTTTGTTGCCTCCTACAACTCGCAGGGTCATGGTGGAGGTATTCAACCCCACCTCCACACAAGTATGAACTCACTGCTCCAGCTATCCTGGTTATAACATTCTGGCACAGACCATATAGAAAACACCCCCATTTCCCACAGTAACTCTCTTGTTGCATGCATATTTGTTGCAACAGGAACATGTTTACTTTGCCATTGCCCAGAAACGGTTGCTGTTACAGAATCATCGCTTAGCAACGTGTCTATACACAACAATATTTTAATCCATTTTTAGATAGCAAATTTCAATCTCAAACAATTTTGAACTTTGCTTTAAATGCTGACTTCATACTTTTACTTATTTGTACTCATTAAGCCAATGAAACTGTAGTGTCAGTATATGTCCTTACTCAGAAAATATTCTCATGTTATCATGTTTGCAGAAAGGTCCAATTTAGTTGATGACAGTTTTGTATAAAAACCCAAACACAGCGAATAACATTAAGTCCTTACATTACTGTGTGGGGTTTTATGTAGACTGAAGTCAAACTGATGATGCCAGTTTTTGGTTGCTCCTTTTTATACACTGCTCGGTGAGCAGAGTGAAACTTGAAATTGAGGAGGAAGAATTTGCAGGGCGCTGATTGGTTAGCACACATGATGGTGAAAAGTGATGTGAAGAGTGTGCGTTGCAGAAAATGCGTGATAATGTGGGATGTTCCCACATCACTCCCCCCCTTGCGAGAAGTGATGCTGCTGCTTGCAAGGTGTTTGCGGCGTCTATGCTGAGCCAGGATGATCCAATGTAGGAGTCGTTACTGGTGTTCACCACCCGCGCTTCCAATCACGTTGGGGTCACCAATGTGGGGTTTTATGTAGACTGAAGTCAAACTGATGATGCCAGTTTTCAGCTGCTCCTTTTTATACACTGCTCGGTGAGCAGAGTGAAACTTGAAATTGAGGAGGAAGAATTTGCAGGGCGCTGATTGGTTAGCACACATGATGGTGAAAAGTGATGTGAAGAGTGTGCGTTGCAGAAAATGCGTGATAATGTGGGATGTTCCCACATCACTCCCCCCCTTGCGAGAAGTGATGCTGCTGCTTGCAAGGTGTTTGCGGCGTCTATGCTGAGCCAGGATGATCCAATGTAGGAGTCGTTACTGGTGTTCACCACCCGCGCTTCCAATCACGTTGGGGTCACCAATGTGGGGTTTTATGTAGACTGAAGTCAAACTGATGATGCCAGTTTTCAGCTGCTCCTTTTTATACACTGCTCGGTGAGCAGAGTGAAACTTGAAATTGAGGAGGAAGAATTTGCAGGGCGCTGATTGGCTAGCACGCGTGATGATGTAGATGCGGGGCTAGCAGCGAGCGCAGTATAAATGCGAATGTTTGGAGCAATTTGATTGGTTAACGCGCATGATGGTGAAAAGTGATGTGAAGAGTGTGCGTCGCAGAAAATGCGTGATAATGTGGGATGTTCCCACAGCTGAATTGTAAAAGTGTTATTGAATATTTTTGGAGCTAGTGACAATTGAAATGTTACTGAAAATTGATTATTCTTGCAACAGTCATAGCAACACTTAATGGTCCATCGACTTAGTGAATAAATATATTTTTGGCTTTAATTTCATTAAGAATTCCCAATATTAAAATCTATTAAAATGTATGTACATAAGGTGAAAACTGGCAGTAGCTCAAAATGAATGAAACTGGACTTTGACAATACTGAATTGCATGAACATCCAGTCATAGAATTTACATGTGCACAATCAGGTTTTTTTTTTTTCCAAGGTACAGAGCTCAGTAATTTGGTAACTATAGTATCAACTGTTCTCTGTACACTGAATTCAAACTGCTGCAGAACAAAAAGGAAGCAAAAGCACTACCCTGTGAGCAGACCTGTTACTAATGTGTTTTGAATTACTTTGCAGGATTGCAATGGTGATGGGATAGTGAATTGTTTTGATTATGCAGCAATTCATCGCCTTGGAGGTTATGGCTGTTCTGGAGCACTAGACTACAATTACCAGAACAAGTTCATGAACTGCCAGCGCCAAGTACAGCAGCTTGCTGGCTGAAAGTAAATGGGATATCTTCTGCAGGGTAAGTTGCCTCAGACTTCAGACTGTTACAAAGGAAGGCACAGCCAGCCCGACCTTATATGTGAACCAAGCACATTGCACAACCCCCCACCCTCCTTTTTATGGGTTCTTGCTATGGTAAAGGTAAGGCAAAGCTATCCCTGCAACAGACCGTCAAGGCTCCCACATTTTCTAGACAATCGGTTCACAGATAGGTTGTCAGCCTTACACACAAGCTGGCCACTCTTTACCACCAGGAAGATTCCTGGTGCACATTTCTGTTAGTGGCTGAGTCGACTCCAGGGCCACAGTATGGCTGGAAGGATTAGGTAAACTGAAAAAATCCAATGATCTCATCGGGAACCAAACCCACAACCTTCTGGTTTTTAGCATAGTGCCTTAACCAACTACACTACTGCATGCCCCATTTATGGGTTCTTGTTAAGTATAAACTAATTTATGCTACTACTCTCTTCATATTAATTGGCAGCCATCCCAACATGATAATGAAAAATATAACTGTGAATTACAAGTGCTAACATTGTCTCATTCTTCAATCTCAAGCCTACAATTATATTGCAATTGCTGTGACAGGATGATGCAATCTTCTGGGGTTACTCTGACTTGCGTTTCAGGCATTATTACCAGGGCCCGGATTTTGGTGACATGTAATCTTTTTTTTTCCTTGTATCCTATGCAATGCTCTTAAATATATAAATCTTGGATATGAGCTGCTGGTTACAGAAATGTAAATTTTATAGGTAATTTTTTGTCATTTTTAGGTTTAAGGTTATTTTTTCATTAGGGGGGGTAATTTCTTGGTAAATTTTTGGACTTTTAAGGGTATTTCTTATCATTTTGGACCATATTATGGAATTTTTCTTCATATGTTTTCTGAAATGTGAACAACATGGAAGCAAAGTGGTCTTTCTTTTCTCCTTTAGGTCATTTTTCTGGATTTTTTGGTCATTTTATAGGTCATTTTTTTAATAATTTCAGGTCATCAAAATCCGGGCCCTACATATTACATGTTTGGGTCATATTTTACGTCATTTTTTCTGGATTATTTCGGTCATTTTTTAAATATTTTCAGGTCATCAAAATCCAGGCCCTGATTATTACACTAATGGCACTTTTTGCACAGTATCTTGAAATTCTGAGTTATTATGACAAACTTATGAGAAAGTTTAATTAAATTTTTGTAATTTATTTCATAGGTCATAATTTCTGTTGCTGCCCAACTGATGTCCAACATAATTAAAGTCTGTAACTTGTTCTGTTACGGTATTATTTAGCAATATTTTGACTTTTTTTTATTTAATTACTCAGGGCACTCCACACACTCACAATCCATCATGATATCTAGTATTAAAAAAATACAAAGTGCTAGTTTAATGGAGCTGTTCTACATAAGCATTTTTTCGTGAAAATAAAGATATCTGATGACGGGCACATACATATACCAGCAGAATTAAAAGTACGTGCAACCAGCACATGCAGTGATTTATTCACACACTGTTTTACCATGATTTCACACATAGCATCATTATGATGAGGTTTTCAATCATTGTATTTAAGAGATCAATATGAATGAAAGTCAGAATTTCCTGACAACTTTCAGAGGAAGACTCTCATATTAAATTTCAGCAAAATCTTTGAAATGATTAATGGGATACATGGAAAAGTCCAATTATATAGCTTTATATCACGTACCTGCTGTTATGGATAAATATGGCTGAAAATTGGAATTGTCAACCACTCTTAGTGAAAGAGTCCCATACTGCAGTTTGAGAAACTCTTAGGTTCTGATACTAGGTCACAGACAGATGGGCAGACAGACATGACCACATAAGGCGATAAGGCATTCTTTCTTATGCTTTGTGAAGAATGCCTAAAAATACATTTCAAATCTGTATTTCTTAGGAAATTATCCTACAGCATTGCCATAACAACCAAGAATCAACCTCAAATCTCCTTTGCAAAGGTGCCCAACAGCAATATAACAAAACTGACTATATCAGTTAAAATGTTATTTTCCACAGACAGCTGTGTTGATGGAATAAACATTTTTTTCCCTGATTTCATTCTTTGGAGGTTTTGCTTACAATAGTAATTTGTATGACTAAAGCTTGCACTGGAGCAAAAACTATGGCATAATTCCTTACAATCTCTTTCAGCCAGGAAGTCGTATTCAATTCCAGATATCCTGTGGAACATCCTCACAATAGCGGAGACAGCAGGCTGCCATGATGACTTCACTGCCCTCTAAAATGACATTTTTAAGTATGATGTGTTTTTTATTTTTTGTAATTTTAATTTTACAATAAAAACGTATTTAAACATGCACATTGTTTTCATCATCTGTGGTTCTGTGCCTGTTTTCAGTTTCCTTAAATCATGTTAGCCAACACGATCATCTAAAACAGCCACCATCACAATTTTCTTTCATAAAGCAAGATAATCCAGTTCATATTACAGCCACTTTTAATAAGGTTCTAGTACAGCCTTCCATCAATGACTTACTAAGAAAATTAACTTCATTGAGAAGCAATGATACATAAACATTCATTCATTCATCAGTAATCTGTCAGACAACAGATCCACAGTCTCTTCCAAAACAGTTCCTCCACTTAATGTGATCTAGAGCTTTCTCCTTCAATTAATTAAAATATCCTCTTCTGTCCTCAAGGTCATCCAGCATCTTCTTATGTCTTCTTCCTCATCTTCTGGTCACTTCTATCTGCCGCTCTATTTTTCCTTTCAATAACTTCTTTTAGGAGGCAGTTACTGCGTAAGATATGACCAATCCAATTATCCTTCTGTTTTCTTATTTCCTGTAGGACATTCCTCTGCTCACTGACTCTAAATAACGCTTCTTCATTTCTCACATAATCGGTCCAACTGATCTTCTCCATCCTTCTCCAACACCACATTTTGAAGCTTTCCAGGTGTTTCTGATCTACTGCCCTAAGTGTCCAAGTTTCAGCCCCATACAAAGCCATGCTCCAAATGTAGCATTTCACTAGTTTCTTTCTCAAATTTAAGTCCAATTTGCTAGTAAAAAGATTCTTCTTCTTGCTAAATGCAGCTTTTGCCAGACTAGAAAATATACAGGGTTTGGTTCCCATAACAATCTAGGATGTTACATCCCCAACAACTGTTCTGGAGAGTGGTGAAAAGAATATCTTGAATTCCTATGCTGGGAATCAAACTGTGACTGTGCTGGCTGTCCTTGTCTCCCTCATTGTAAATATCCTGCTTCATAACAACTGCAACATCTTACCATTTACGCATCTTCCAGCATATGGTCAACATCCAATTGTCTAGTCTAGTCCTATAAGTTCCCAAGAAAGGAACATTGCCATCAACTCTCTGTAACTTTTTAATTCAGTTTAGTTGACTTTTTGTAATTCTTGAGGAATGAACACTAGCATAAGTGTTCAGGCCTAATGTCAGAGGGCACATGTGACTAACAACACAGATTAATATACCTCATATACAGAGGCTTAAACTTTTAAAACAACCAGAAGAACAACTAGGCCAATGATATACTTGTACATGGACCAAGAATAGACTATAGACAAATAGAAGATCAAAGACTGTGAAAAAAAATGGAAGAGAGTAGAGATGGCTGCGTGCCTATAACAATTTTCTTATGTTTCCATGATAAAATAAGAGAAAAAATAAATTTAAATTTTACACATCACTACCATTATGTATCACCATACGCATTATTGAAACATCTTTCATCATTATTAAATGCTGATGATTTAGCATGCTAATATAGAAGGGATAAGGAGCAACAACAGAAGTAATCTCCTTCACTGTTGATCATGCTAACAAGCATGGCACCAAGGCAGAGCCTACTTCAGATTCTTCTATTATCATCATATTCAGTAACATTTTCTTGTCGAATTCCCTATGTACATAAATATATCATAGACTGAATCCTATTTACATGGTCATTTTGGTGGCAAACAGTTGAATGCTACAAAGCCACACATTTCTGACAAATCTGCCCCTCTGTGCATATGTGCATTAACATGTAGTGAAGCCAACTACACTGAATATGTGTTAGATGCCAAAAAAAACTGAGCTAGCCAACCCTGGCATCAGAAACATCATCACTTTAACTCATCTGTGTGTAAACTGTAACTACAATATGATAAAACATTCTGCACATAAACATTATACCATAATGACAGTTGTTCTTTCATTAGTTCTGAAGGCCATTTTGAAGTTCTGAAAACCAAGACTGGTCTAGTGCTAGCACTCTTAGACTTGAATTTGGGAGGTACTCAGTTCATATCTCAGGGACAGTGGATATCCTGGCTGAGGTATTTTATGGTTATCCTCAGTGTCCCATAGCAAATACCATGACAGTACCTTCATTAGGCCACGACCGCTCTTTTCTAAATATTTTCTGATTCAGCAAGCACCATTTGATGTTCTGTAGACTAGATAAGGACAGTACCAATAAATAAACCATAGACAAAAAAATGGAACATCCTGCACATAAAAGACATATCATGATTACAGCCAGTTTTTTATTAGGCAAAAAGGCCATTTTGAAATTCTTACATACAGTTTGAATGTGAGTTAAGCCTGTTGCTTAATGGCATATTTCTTTTTAATTTCTGTTATAAATGTTATCTGCATTCAGCAGTTAATACTGTGGCATGTAGACCCGTTGTTACTCAATGACTATGAAACAAGCAACTACACAACAGCCGTTGCTAGGTAACGGCAATGCAACATACACGAATGCAACAATTCCGCGGCAACAAAAGGATACAACAATAACGGGAAGTGGTGTTTTCTATACAGTCCATGCCAAGATGTTATAAGCAGGGCACACTTGTAGCTAGGGTTAGTCAGTCAAAGGAGGAGTGGGTTAATGAGGAATGGAGTTATGGTAACTAGATCAAGGGTGACATGGGCAAGAAATACAGCACATACAAGAAAAACAGAATAAGAATACAAAATTTTGGCTGGAAAATGTGAAAGGAAGAGATAATATGAGACTTCTAGGCATAACTTGGAGTATAATATTCAAATTATTTTTTGACAAACTGTTTGTGAAGATATGAACTTGACCAAACTGGTTAAGGATGGAGAAAATATATGGTACTAAAAAGTAGTGTGCTGTGGGATGTGATGCTGTGTAGTCCAGCAGAAGTTTATCAACCTGCAAGAAGGAAGTAGCAAGCAAAGCCACCTGCAGGAAGAAAACTTGGTACAGATTTAGGCATTAAAAAAAGAGCCCAGAGAGAACCAAGGAGCAAGGTGAAGAGTTAACTGGTGTTGGCCCCCAATATGGCCATACTGCAAAGCAGGAGAGAAGACAGAAGCCGTAGGTTCCTCCAAAATGTGGTGAAAGTCCACCAGACTACATGGCATCACATCCCAGAAGATAGTACTCCTCACAGTCAGCACTGTAAAAATCTCAAATCTAACACTGTACTGAAGCTTTGGCCTCTATAATTTCCTGACCAGCTGTAGTACTGTCTACTACCTAAGTATCTGAGTACAGATATGATTTTTTATGTGTACAGTCAGCGAGACCCTATCTTTGACTGAGCACTACCAGCTACTTCTGACGCAAGTATAGAACTGCTCCATAAGAGCAATATTAGCAACTTAGAAGCATAACCAGTATAAAACATGTTGTTCACCATTACACACTGTTATTCTCTGGGAGCCAAATCCCAAACTGAAAAGCTATTTACATAAGCATAAATAATTTCACATGCATTTACTGACAGCACTCAACCTCAGTCATTCTAGGCTTGCGTTGTCACAGAATGGTAGGCAGAAATGTGCTGAAGGCGTGATTTTGCTGCTTTGTAGTCAGGTAGTGACAGAAGCATATAACTTAGCAGAAAGAAACATTGGTATTTTTATGCACTATTCTGCTCCTTGTTTCATAATATTTAAGGGAATATCACTTTTCATATTACACAAATTGTATGTGTGTTAAAGACTGGAAATTTGAACCTACTAAAGTTTAATTTAAGATTATACTTATTATTCAAATTATGATGATTGAATTTCTTCCTGCATTTTCAACATACTTGTATTATAACAGAAAGAAAAACTCCCTTACTCTGCAACCAGCAAAGTGTCTGGTCAGTCCCCAATTTAAAGACTGAGCTCTCATCAGCAGTATCACTAGCCTCATGGACAATGAGAGGTGAGCATGGAATAATAATTGGCAGGAAAAAGAAAAAAATCTTGGAGAGATCCAGCACAAATCCTATATAACATCACTGAGGATTACACAGAAGTCTCCATAAATGAGAAACCAGCATCTAACTGGTTGACTTATGGCATGGCTCTATTTAATTGTAATATCTAATGAAATGTAAATATGAATGTACAGGAATGAACATAACTTCAATTAATTTCTCCCTCTAATTATTGCTGAAAATCTTAAGGCACTGAAACACATGGAATACCAGCCTTGCAGTCAGAATGTGTTCATAAATCAGTAACAGACAAATGCTGACAACAGAGTTAGTAAAATAAAATGGATTATTTTTAGATCTAATTTATGTAATTAATGTTCATTAAAATATTACGACTACTACTATTCAGTCATCAATGGCTCTACAACCGGAATTTGGGCCCTAGCCACTATTTTTCAGTTTTGTAATCCTATACAAAGTTGGCAGGACTCCTTGGACAGAATATCAGCCATTTTCAAGGCCACTATCTACATACAGGACAGCACAAACACAGTATAAACACGCACAGACATCCATCCCTCAAGTGGGATTCGAACCTGTGACCCCAGTGTTCAAGCGGGCAAAGACATTTCATGTCTACAGCAACTGACTGAGAACCTGCTGGAAGTATTGTTCACAGTGGAAGTGTCTGAGTTGCTTCTCAATATTAGCAGATAGATGTGCCTCCACCGCAGAGAAGATCTTGTCACGGTAACTGCCAGAGGCACAGTTGGTGATGAAAGACAACAGCCAGCCAAGGCCGTCCCAGCCAGTGAGGTACACTTTGATTCCACTTGCTTCAGACACCTTCAGGTTGTCCAGTGTTGCATTGCACACTCCATTCACATGTGTGAGGGATATCTGTGAGTTACCAACATGTCAGACTTCAACCTATGATGTGGAGTTTGAGGTTGTCACAGCAGTGACTATGAACAGTTCTACTTTATGGATGTAATGCCACACAGTCTGGTGAAAGTCAAGTGAGGTTTCAGAAGAACGTACCATTATGCCACAATATGTTTCTGGATTTTAGCCATCCTGTCAAAATACTGCCCTATCTTCATAAGCCAAGCAAGAAATCAGCATGAAGCAGGCGCCAGAGCCAAATGATCTTCCCCAACTACATGGCATTACATCTTGGTCAAGAGAATTTTCATCAACTTAACAAGTTACATACAAATATTACAGAGAAATTCCAATCCAGTATTCCCATATTTAATTGAATCCAGCATTTATTGGATACTTTTTTTAATTCCAGCTTCTTTATTTATTTTATTTATGGTTTATGTAACAATGTTTTCAGTACCTCAGTCTATATGTGCTGAATGGAAGGACGATTAATGAAAAATGGATTGGAACTGCTATGAAAGGAAATGGTTGTGGTTTATTTCAGGTATCATTCTAGAATTTTTTAATTTTTTTAACTGGGTCTACTAGCACGGCGGCCACTGACTAGCCTATTGTACGTGCCCCCGGGTGATTATGATGATGGAGAATTTGGTGGAATGAAGATTGGTAGGGGAAACCGAAGTACTTGGAGAAAACCCGCCCCAGCGCCACTTTCTCCACCGTAAATCCCACTTGACAAGACCGTGGCTCGAACCCGGCCCACCATGGTGGGAAGCCAGCGACTAACCACTTGAGCTATGGCGCAGCCCCTGAAACATGTGCATTAAGATGAGAAAGGTGTAGTGGCAAATGCTGCAATATGGCCAGAATACTGCCAGACCATCAATTTTGACAGAACATAACATTCTTCTTCTTCCTTTCCAACGTTTTGCTTACACTCTGTTACATGCAATGTAGCTTATATGCCACAGTATTTGCGAACAAGGTAAGTGCTTAACTAGAGATTCCAACTGTGCTTTCACAGATGCTGTAACAGAGAGAATGTGGTACTCTTATACTGTCAGGTCGTGGAGTTGCATTTCTGCATGAGCTGATTGCTAGCCTAGGCTTTGCCATTGGGAAGGTTAGTTAAGGATTATTCATAACTGGAAATACATACATTAACCTTTAAACGGTAGACTTTTGAAATGGTGGTAGCTTGAGCTGCCTGGAATTTATTTAAATGCCTACTGCTGGTGTGCATTTAAATCCCCGTTGTTGCCCTGCCTTTAAATGTTCATTCCTGTTAGGGCACTTGCACTGTATTTGAAAATGCAGTGTCTAATACAATTTTTTTGATAAATTAATGGAATTAACTTTGTTTTTATCAGCACTGCTTTTATCAGAAAAGAACACAGTGTCGAATATTATAACGTAAGGTTTGAAAATGTGTAGAAAAAAGTTATAAACTATTTTTAATTTTTTCTTCTAAATTTGATGCATACTGTAAAAATAACTTTCCCACTTCTTCATATAGTAATTCTGCATTATAAAATCATTCCTGCTTGTAACACTTGAAATATTTTTACATTCTCTGGTCCCATAAAACAGTTGGAAGTAATAAAGTCATTTGGTTCTCTGTTGGCAACTTTCACATTTTTGTTACACTCTTCAGATAGTCCAGTCTTTTGACTTAGTTAGTTAGTTATTGGAGAGGATGGGTTTCCCCATGCACTTAGACCTGTATTGGTCCATTGTGCTTCCCTCTATGATTTCTACCAGTCTCTATATCCTACCAGTACTGGTGCATACCATCAGTCCCGCCCAGCCAGCGAGACCGGCTCTACTAGCTGAGAGGTATCTATAATGCTTACCCCATCTACCAGAGGTATTAGAGACTGCTGTTGGGTGGGAAACGTCCGTTAATTTGGCTCAGTGACCTCCTTTGGAGATATGAGGTTCTTTTACGTGCCGTAAAGCTACNACGTTACCTCTAGACTACGGAGGCCGCTTAGTCTTTTGACTTAAGGATAGAAAGTGAAAACATAGCCTTTCAAGAAAGGCTAGAGGGAATATTCATTGTCCCCTACTTCAGTGCCAAGCCCTGTCATTGTACCTGCAAGAGAATATTGCTCTTTCTATGGTTGCAAAAAAACTCTTGTATTGCAGCTGAGATACAGAGTGCATTCAATTTTCTGTGAGTTCATAGTGACTTTGAATATTACAGTTTAATTTTATCATACCATAACAATGAAACATTGTTTGGAACATGATGAAATCTAAAGGCAGTTGAAAAGCAAGATACGTGACATGGGACTGTGCTTTCTCAGGTGCTATAAGGAGTATTACACAAAGATGAGATTCAGTTACATTATGCAGGGATTGAAGCCTGTATATACATCAAGCAGATAACAACAAAAAAATGTATGTATATTGAATTCTACTATATTTAAAAATAAATAGTTCGGATTGTGCATATGATTCTATTAGCAGTGTGTGCACGAGCTTCCACAAGTGATGTTTGAATGCCCAAATGCACAAATCAGTGTATTTTGGCTATGATAACCATACTCCTCAGTATACCAATTGGTGCATTTTGGACATTAAGAGGTTAAACAACAAAAATTGATGCAAGGACTGAAATTAAATTCAATTCTGGTAATGCTATTTCCTCCACAACAGTTTGTTGTTATTTCACAATGACCATGTCACCATACTTCTGATATTCCAGAATCATATATATTTTATACTGCACATTCTGTCTTACACCTTAGTGAAAGGAGACAGTAAAGACATGGGAGAGCCAGTCAATAATGGAAGATTTGAACAGGGATGCAATACAAGTTGAGTGTGACTTGTCTTACTGATTAACACGATACAATGACTGAAATACATTTCCTCTTTCAAATTTCTAAAAGTTTTCAGAATACCTGCTTAGATGGCTGGATGGTTTAATACATCTATTGCCATGCTGCTGTAATGGGACTTTACATGCAGTGCCAGAAACTGGGCCTTTAACTTACTGCAAAAGGAAATGCAAGAGAAAAAGTAAAGAAAATCAATAATCACCATAAGTTTCCACTCTCACGTGATTATAAGTATGAGAGAGTTGACACTTTATGCTTTCAAAGTTGCACTTATAGGTTCTCTACATACTTGTATAAGGGAAATCTGTAGGCGAAAATTACATTTACATACACAGTGACAACAGCCCAATGCTTGGTGAAACTGGCATTGGCACGAAATGGGCTTCAACTTGACAAAGGACAAAGTTGGCAGTGAAAGCGTTAACTCCATTTTTAGCACCTGGAGCATTAAGCACTTGCAGGAGGGCTACAATTGTATTTTAGCAAGTGTCCATGGTACTCAGGAACAGAAGAACAAAGGTGGATATATTTACTGGACTATCAGCCTCAAAAATGAGACCCGAAATTAAAATAAGTGGTAACTAACAAAAGACAAGTACTTACCTGGGCAGTGATTGAGTTGTGGGGGATCACACCTGTGATCGTCCCACTTGCCTGAATGACGCCAAAATTTGCTTCATACTGGTTGAATCCAAACTCCAACATCTGCAAGCCAAATCCGCCAACCACAGTAAGGGTGTTGTCAACGACTGTAGCTATGGTATCACTTGTTCTGTAGATGGTGGACAGATTCCCCAACCATCCATTCTCAGCTCTGAACCTCCCATTTACTGGAAAGAATATGATGTCAGTAGTGAAGCTCTCATCCACATCTGGGATCTTAATCGAACTGTGTCCAGTCTTGTGTAGTGTTTCTCGCACAATTGTTAAGAAGAAGTCCACTAGTAGATCCACATTCAATGTATAATTCTTCTGCACCTCAACAGCAGGATGATGTACGCGAGTCACTGCGGACTCCCACCCAATTTCTTTCAGTAGCTCATGGAAGGAGACATTAAGGTGACCTGATCTTGGAAAAGATAGCTGCACATCATTGCTGACAATTTCATAATCACCCACAATGCTCGAGGCTTCCACGTCAGTATTCAGGAGACGAAGATGTGTGAAGAGCACAGTAGTTAGGCTGTCAGCATCAACTGTTATATTATTGAGGTCAATGTTTTTGGTGAGTTGTTGCTTTCTTGCAATGCTGACCAACACCTCACCAATAAACCTGTGTCGCACATTACGAGACAACTGTTTCAGATCACTGGTGCCTTGCACATGGCCAAGGATTAGTATGACCATAACCACAGCACAGGTATGAAGTGTGAACTCCATCTGGAAAGAGAATACTGAACTTTCAACATTTGCTTTTACTCTCATATTCCTGTGACAACTAATATAGTACCAACATAACCATATAATGATTTTAATGACTAGAAGGCACTGAAGTGGGATTTTGACCTGCATTTCCTGCTATTCGATCAGTGGGAGAAGCAGGTTCAGGTCTTGAGCCACAGACAAATACAGGAAATCCAGTACCTGTATTCCAGTAATGTCAAACCCGAGGCTCACCAGCCCATCAATTATTACTTCTGCAGGGGTATTGTGTGGCAGGTGACATATCACCACCTTCATAGGATTTTTTTTATTTGGGACAGAATGATTAATAGGACAGGTTATTGGCATCTAAATGGGATCTGATGGACTGGAAATCAGCCATGCCTCTCGTGATGACTCTGGTTCTGTTTCTAGTGGTACGGAACTCAAAGTTTTCTTTGACCACAATTTTCAGATGTTTTTGTCTCATTCCCGCACATCAGCTTTTGGTCTATGCCAATGATGTGAATCTACTGGGCGATAACATAGATACCATAAAGAAAAACACACAAACTTTAATTGACACAAGTAAGGAGGTTGGTGTAGAAGTAAACACAGAGAAAACTAAGTATATGTTGCTGTCTCATCACCAAAATGCGGGGCAAAATCATGAGATAATGATAGGAAACAGATGTTTTGAAAATGTGGCACAGTTCAGATATTTGGGAACAATGATAACAGATCAAAACCTGATTCAGGAGGAAATTAAGAGGAGACTGAACTCGGGTAAGGCTTGCTACCATTCAGTCCAGAACCTTTTGTCATCTCATCTGCTGTACAAAAACATAAAAATTAGAATATACAAAACTATAATTTTGCCTGTGGTTCTGCGTGGGTGTGAAACTTGGTCTCTGACATTAAGGGAGGAACATAGACCAAGGGTATTTGAGAACAGGGTGTGGAGGAGAATATTTGGACCGAAGAGGGATGAAATGACAGGAGGTTGGAGAAAACTGCATAATGAGGAGCTTCATAACTTGTACTCTTCTCCAAGCATATTTAGAATGATCAAGTCAAGGAGGATAAGGTGGGCAGGGCATGTAGCACGAATGAGGGAAATGAGGAATCCATATATGATATTGGTGGGAAAGCCAGAAGGAAAAAGACCACTGGGGAGACCAAGGCGTAGGTGGGTGGACAATATTAAAATGGATCTTAGAGAGATGGGGGATGGGATGGTATGGATTGGATTGATCTGGCTCAGGATATGGACCAGTGGACGGCTCTTGTGAACACGGTGATGAACCTTCGGGTTCCATAAAATGCTGGGAAATTCTTGAGTAGCTGCAGAATTTGGCTTCTTAGCGAGAAGGGATCAGCTCCATGAGTAAGTAAGTAAGTTTTGTCTCATTCCCGCATTCTCTTATATCCTCTCGGCACGGACCACGCACAAAAAACACAGCCCCTCTATTGTTGCGAGGGGCAGACCACACAGAAAAACCCCCTTCTCTACTGCTGTGTGACGTCACCGCGCATGCTTTAAAGTTTTTGTCTCAATAGCTACATTTCCTTTTGTTACGTTGTGTTTTTCGCCCACCACGATGCCAAAAGCAACTTATCGTTGAAAATGAAGAATAGTGATTAAAAGTACACATGAAAAAAGACTAGTTCAACAGAAGGTGGAAAGAAAAGAACAAAAACTTCTATAACCTCTCTATATTTTCGGCTACGCTACTTTGTAACTGTTTCCAACGTTGCCGTTTGACAGAGGCACTGATTGCTGGAATCGTTAATAAGGAGGCAAATAATTTCTATGACTTCCGGTAATGTCGTATCCAGATTTGAAGCGGTAGAATATATAAGGTCTGAAACATTACTTTTTAAAATTTCATCCGACGTATAAATACTTGAAAGTTCAGTTCACATAACTGGAGATGACGACACTGTACAGTCATAACGATGGGTCTGAAATAGAAATACTTACGATCTAGAAGTTTGTGACGATGGTACATTAATACAAATATTATGGTTTTCGACATTATCTACCGTTATGATTTTATTTTAAAACACGTTTAGGAGACTGGACTCCCTCTCTCTGTCTTCAGGTAAAACCTGCTCAGTTGAGCCCAAACGATAGAGCTAGTCCTTATCTCCGGACTAGGGACTAACAATTTCTTCACCATCTCAACAGCGTTAGACCTACCATAAAATTCACAATCTAAGTTAATGATACCCTTCAGTTTTTGGACGTTTTGGTAATGAAGATAGGCCCAAAATTGGCCACGAAAGTCTACCGGAAACCTTCTCATACTGGTCGTTATCTGCACTTTAAGTCAAACCATTCATATCACGTAAAAAAGGGGAGTAGTTCATAGTTTAGTCAATCGAGCGAAGATTTTATGTCAGGATCACAGGAATTTCAGCGACGAAAATAAGAACATAAGACATGATCTGATGCATAGTGAATATCCAAAAGAATTCGTTGGCTCCGTAATGAAGCCATCGAGAAACAACTGTCCTTCTTCAGATACAACATACGTGGGCGCGGTCATTATCTCATATGTTAAGGGTACTTCCGAGAAATTCAGACGCATTGGGAGCCGTTGCAATCTCAGAACCATTTTCAAGACTAAACATACACTTCGTGGGATATTCGTGAAAACTGGACGGTCAGAAATGCCCAGAAGACGAAGCAGTGGATGTACAGCATCCCATGTGACTGTGGCTGATGCTACATCGGCGAAACAAGCAGATCTTTAGAAGTGCGCATTAGGGAGCACAAATATAATCTGACACAAGGGCTGCTTGAAAAATCAAAATTAGCCCAACATGCGTATGATGAAGACCACAAAATATATTGGAAAGAAGCGAAGGTCTTGCAGACTGAACCAGATATCACATACAGGAAATACAAGGAATCAGCCCACATGTATCTGATAGACCTTCCGATCAGTCAACCCAGCTTGGACATCTCTACCAGCTGAACTCCCGTCATCACAGTAGAGGTAAAAAAATTACAACTACGTCTAGTGTAGAGTGAGTGAGAAAATTAGCGTTTTTATGCTGGTATCATACTGAGAACTTGTCTCTCTTGTGATGACTTCTATTCTGATAGTTCTTGGTGCAAGGAATCATACGTGTGGAGTTTTTAATATTTTAATGTTTTGTCTTAGCTCTCGCAGATGGTTTATGCTGTGCTTGACTTGTGCACCACATGTTGTGTTCGTGCAGGTGTCCGGAGATAGGGACTGGCTCTATCGATTGGGCCCAATTGAGTAGGGTTCACCTGGAGACGGAGAGAGAATCCAGTCTCCGAAATGTTGTGCTTTTAAATAGAAGTAGGACGATGTTTTAGATAAAAAAAACAGGACGATGTACAGTGTCCAAAAATATATTTGTAGAAATACTTATGTTTATGAGTAATTATTGTTGCAAAATGTGGCAACATAGCTTTTTTATTCCAGTCAGTATATTGTCACTATCACTTTCTTCCTGGGACACCTGTTAAAAAATGTGCCGTCAAGTAACGCCCAACCAACCAACCAACCAGCCAGCCACTCGGTGCTGCAGCCCTGGGTGAGCCTTGGCCTCCTCTACAACCAGTCTCCAGAACCAATGCGTACTGCCATAGGAATGGATGGCTGGATTTTAGGTTTCTGATCAAAATTCTTTTTACATGATGAGGCTGTTAGCTTCATGCCCAACCCCTAACATGGAGGACCATTGCACCTCTCTTAGTCTGGACTCTACCCTTTGACCTTTCCGGCATGGGTGACCCTATCGGTAGTTAAACTACCACCGGCATAGCTCTCCAGGTCACAGAGTCACGCAAGCCCCACCACCACGATAAGGTGGAGACACCTTTGGGGGGCCAATAACGGCCAGGTTGGTGATATTCACGTGTGAAATGCAACAGTGTCTTAAATAATATATTAAGAAGTTACATTTTTACAAAAGAGCCTGAAAAGAAATGCCCTCCCAACTTTGTATAAACGTTTTTAAAGAGTAATAATAAAAACTGACTCATATACTGTTATGGGGAAGGCACACCAAGGAAACTGGCAACCGAAACGCAACCGCAATTTCTGAGAATCGTTATCAGCCTGAATTGAACACATGTTATTGAATGGAGCAGTGCAAATTGATGAAACTGCAATGCAACTCGCGGAAGAACTGAGAAACTCAACTTCAAGGCAACGGAGCATGCCAGTCTTCTCACAATTGCGTTGCTGCGTGCTTTCCTAGTGTCAGCTGTTCTGTAACTCGCTTCAGTTATTCATTTGTTTCCTAAGATGGTACGAAAGGTTCATGAAGCTGCTAATTTCGTTTTTGTGCAGTTAACTGAGCAAGAGTCTGGTATATATGACAAACGCCACCAAGACTATGGTAGGCAGAACAAAATACTACCACAGTCAATAAGTACGTGGAATGGCCGCAAAATGTCGTTGCAGTGCACTACAGCGGATAGGTTGAGGCATTATATGATGCCCTGTCGGTTCATCTCTCGTCACAGCTAGAGGTAGTTGTGTGCAAACAGTGTAAGTACAACTACGACCTCTATTGTGAACTGCAGTTAAATGCAATTGGCGGAAATAAAAAAAAGTGGCAGTTGGAACAACGGGCAAACATTAAGTCCTGCCAAAAACTAGGAAAATCCCCTGGCGAAACATTTGGCGTAGGAAGAATTGGCTGTTGCTATACGACAACGCCCCTGCACATCGCTCTGTTCTTGTCCAAGAGGAGCCGGCAAGGCAACAGGTCACCGTTTTGCCACACCCTCCGTACTCACCTGATCTCGCACCGTGCGATTCCTTTCTCTTTCACCGCTTGAAAGCAAAGCTACGTGATCGCAGATCTCAGTTGTCCGAGGAGGTCGTCAATGCCATAAGAGACGCCGTACGGGAATTTCTCGCCAATATGTTTCTGCAATGTTTGCGGCTGCTATATCAACGTTGGCAGACTTGCATAGCGGCAAACGGCAACTATTTTGAGGGCCGATGTGGATCTGCGTAAGTGTA